GGCTTTGAAAAAAAGCTCCAGCTCCTTTTTGTTTCCTACATTACCGGGAATGTAAGCTTTTGTTTTTCAGGGCTACTTCTGAGCTGAGGAGACCTGGATGGGTCTAGGCATGTTAAAATGCCACTAAGCTCACTGTCCTTACTGAGATTTAGCACTTTGTGTGTGTGTGTTTTTCAATTTCATTTTTCAATTACAGTTTACATTCAGTATTATTTTCTAGTAGTTTTAGGTTTATAGCTAGGGGTTAGACAGTCATATACTTTACAAAGTGTTTGCACTGATATTTCATGTAAGTTCCCAGTACCATACAGAGTTATTGCAATATTATTGACTATATTCCCTATGCTGTACTTTACATCCCTGGGACTACTTTATGATTAACAATTTGTAGTTTTTCATCCCTTTATCTTTTTTGTTCAGTCTTCCCTCCCCTCTGTCAACCATCAGTTTGTTCTCTGTATCTATGAGTCTGTTTCTATTTTGCTTGTTTGTTTACTTTGCTCTTATGATTCTACATATAAGTGAAATCTTATGGTATTTGTGTTTCTCTGTGTGACTTATTTTACTTGGCATAATACCCTCTAGGTCCATCCATGCTGTTACAAATGGTAAGATTTTATTATTTTTTAAAAATATTTTATTTATTTATTTCTAGAAGAGGGGAAGGGAGGGCAAAAGAGGGGGAGAGAAACATCAATTTGTGGTTGCCTCTCATATGCCCCCAACTGGCAACCTGGCTCACAACCCAGGCATGTGCCCTGACTGGTAATCGAACCAGCAACACTTTGGTTTGCAGGCCAAACTCAGTCCACTGAGCCACAGCAGTCAGGGCTAGATTTCATCATTTTTTATGGCTGAGTAATACTCCATTGTATATATGTACCACAGTTTGTTTATCCACTCATCTATTAATGGGCAGTTAGTTGGGTTGCTACCATATCTTGGCTATTGTAAATAATGCTGTACTGAACATAGAGGTGCATATATTAATATTTCTAATTTGTTTTTTGCCTTTCTTCATACACACACACACACACACACACATCCATCCTCAAGTACAAAGACTGAGTCATAAAGCAGTTGCATGTTTATTTTTTGAGGCCTCCTCCATTCTGTTTTCCACAGTGGCTGCACTAATCTGCATCCCCACCAATAGTGCACCAGGGTTCCCATTTCTCCACCTCCTTGCCAGCACTTGTTGTTTGTTGATTTATTGATGATAGCTGTTCTGACAGTTGTGAGGCGATACATCACCCATTGTGGTGTCAATTTGCATTTGTCTGACAATTAGTTATGCCAAATATCTTTTCATGTACCTACTGGCCATTTGTATGCCCTACTTGAAAAAGTGTATGTTTAGCTACTATGGGAAATGGTATGGAGGGCTCTCAAATATTAAAAAATTATTTTATACTTGGATTGTTTGGTGATTTTTTTCTTTCATGTTGAATGAGTTCTTTATAAATTTTGGAAATTAACCCCTTAATGGGTGTGTCATTGGCAAATATCTTCTCTCAGTCATTAGGTTGTCTTTTTGTTTTGTTGATGGTTTCCTTTACTATACAAAAACTTTTCAGTTTGATGTAATCCCATTTTTTTTCTTTTGTCTTTCTTGCCCCAGGAGATATATCATAAAAAATATTGCTAAGAGAAATATTGGAGATTTTACTGCCTGTGATTTCTACTAGAAGTTTCACAGTTTCAAGTCATACTACATTAGAGTCTTTAATCCATTTTGAGTTTATCCTTTTATATGGTGTAAGAGGGTGGTCTAGTTTCATTTTTTTGCATGTATCTGTCCAATTTTGCCATCAACATTTGTTGAATAGAATGACTTTACCCCATTGCATGTTCTTGCCTCCTTCGTCATATATTAATTGACCATATAGGTATGGGTTCATTTCTGGGCTCTCCATGCTGTTCCATTAATCTGTGTCTGTTTTTATGCCAGTACCATGATGTTTTGATTACTATGGCCTTGTAGTATAGTTTGATATTAGGTAGCATGATACCTCCAACTTTGTTCTTCTTTCTCAGGATTGCTCTTGCTATGCCAGGCCTTTTTGTGATTCCATATAAATTTTTGAAATATTTGTTTTAGTTCTTTGAAATATGCCATTGGACTCTTGATAGTAACTTCATTAAATCTATAGATTGCTTTGTGTAATATGGACATTTTAATGATGTTAATTCTTCCTATCCCTGAACACAGTATGTGCTTCCACTTATTTGTGTCTTCTTCCAGTTTCTTTCTTTAATGTCTTACAATTTTCTGAGTACAGGATTTCTACCTCCTTGCTTAAGTTTATTCCTAGTTTTTTTTTGGATGCAATTGTAAATGGGATTGTTTTCTTTTTTAAAAATTTTATTTTAATCATTGTTCAAATACAGTTTTCTGTCCTTTACTCCCATCCCAGCCCACCCACCCATCCCTCCCCACCTTCCTCCCATTTCCATCCCCCCCTAGTTTTTGTCCATGTGTCCTTTATATTTGTTCCTGTAAACCCTTCCCATTCTCCCCTGGGGATTGTTTTCTTAGTTTCCCTTTCTGATAGTTCGTAATTGGTATATAAAAATACAGCCTGCTTCCAAATATTTATTTTGCGTTCTGCAACTTTACTGAATTCATTTATTAGTTCTAGTATCGTTTTGATGGAATCTTTAGGGTTCTGTGCATATAGTATCATGTCATATGCAAAAAATGACAGTTTTACTTCTTCCTTTTCATTTTGGATACCCTTATTTCTTTTTGTTTTCTGATTGTTGTGACTAAGACTTTTGCTAACAGTCTTGTTTTAAATGAGCCTTGTTTTAAAACTACTTCATGTATAAAACTATATAGAGCAATTTAAAATATACCTATGAATCCAAAAGCTGAAAATTGTGCATTAACATTTTTGCTAAATTTGCTTCACATCATTCTTTAAATAAATATCACCTTTAAAGAAAAGACTTCAACCTCCTGAATTGCCTGTTCTGGAATCTGCAAACATTAATACAGAAAGCCTCCTCTGTAGAATGGTAGCTAACAAACTAAGTGATCTTTAAATGTAGTTCAGTGCCACCCCTACTTCGTTTCTTTTTTGTGTCATGGGTTTTTTTCTGTAATTAAAAATAGAGGGATCAATACAATGAATTCTGATATACCCATCACTGAGAATCAATAGCTATCAATATTTTGCCACATTTGATTCATTTGTGACTTCTTTTTCTTTTTCAAAATTGTTTGTGCTCTAAAGCAAATCCCACATACTGTGTCATTCCCTTCCCCTATGAACTTAAGTATGCATCTCTAAAAAATTTGGGGGGACAGCTCCCAAAAAATCACAATTCTGTTATCATGCATAACAAAATTAATAATAATCTGATGACATCTTGATGTTATCTAGTACTAACTCCATAATCAAATTTCGTCAATTATCTGACTAAAAAAATGTAATTTTTTGTCCTGACTGGTGTGGCTCAGTGGATTGAGTGCTGGCCTGTGAACCAAAGGGTTGCTGGTTCGATTCCCAGTCAGGGCATGTGCCTGGATTTCAGGACAGATCCCTAGTTGGGGGACACAAGAGGCAACCACACATTGATGTTTCTCTCCCTCTCTTTCTCTCTCCCTTCCCCTCTATCTAAAAATAAATAAAATAAAAGTCTTCTTTTAAAATGTATTTTTACAGTGGATTTGTTTAAATCAGAATCTAAACAGGATCCACATTGCATTTGGCTGTCATACCTTTTAAGTCTCTTAATCTAGACCTGTCTCCCTACTTTTTGTCTTATGCTATTGATTTGCTGTAAAACAACAACAACAACCTGGTATAACTGTTCTGAAGCACATTCCACATTCCATCTTCTAGGTCTATTTGCTTCCTTGTGACATTGTCTTTTTAATGAAACCATGCCAGTTATCTTGTAACATGTCTGATTGTTTTCTCATGGTGTCATTTAACGTATTCTTTTGTCTCTGTGTTTCATCAAAATTAGAATATGAACTGCTTACTTAATTTTAAATCTTTGTCAAAACTACTTCCAGATGATGCTGTGAATTTCCTGTTGTGTTGCATCTGGCGATGCATGGGGTTGTCTGTCTCACTATTACTTACAATAAGGTTAACATTGGGTTAAAGGGGTGATTTCCTGATCTCATCTTTGTAAAGTTGTTTTTCTCTTCTTGAGACTAGCAAGTTACCTGTGAGGTGTAATACTCTGGTACTGTATGAATATCCAAATGCCTTAGAGTCACTTGTTTCTAGAAGCACCTGTGATTTTCTAATTCTGTCATTCCTTTTACATTTATTAGCTGGCATTCTTCTGTAAAGAGCTTTCTTTATCATCCAAGAATTGGTTATACTGAAATATACTGCCTATGTAACTATTTTTTGATTCAAGATGGTTAAGTCATTATAAAAGGGTTGTATAAGAAGATGGTCTTCAGTAGCTCATAGCTTGGTTGTAGACAAAATAACACATATCAACATTAGGGAATGAGATGAGATTGTACGTTAACTGTATTAAGTGACTTGTACATATTATAAGTTCAGGGGAGGGAGGGCTGGAAAAGTCCTAGAGGTCTGCATAGAAGGTTGATTTCAGGTTACCTTTGAAGGATGGGCAGGTTTTGAAGATGTGGACAAAAAGGGAAAAGGTACTCCAGGCAGTGAGGATGGTGAGGATGAAGGCACAGGGAGAGGATGAGCTGTATATATTCTGAAGGTGTCTGGAGAAACTGAGAATATGGGTATGGGAATGAGGTTGCTAGGTAGGCCAGGAGCAGAACATGGGAAACCTTAAATGCCAGTTTAGGGAGATTGACCTTTATCCTTTAATAAGTTTGTGCTCTGTGTACTTCAGGCATTTGTAAATCAGCTTCTTATAATGACGGGAAGCAAAATTTGGCTTTGTTAAAGCCAGAAGCAGGAAGAACAATGAGTGCATCTGTGGGGGGCTCAGAGATAGGGAATATGGTTGGCATTCAGATAAATGTCTACATCCTCTTTCCTCTGCAGCCCGTGTGACCCCAACTCTACCAAAGCAGGACCGTCCAGTGCGGGAAGGGACCCGGGTGGCTTCCATTGAGACAGGTTTGGCTGCAGCAGCTGCAAAGCTGGCCCAGCAGGTAGGTGCTGACACTCAAGCAATGACCCTGCTACAGACCCTAGTTTGACCTAAGAGCCTTAAAGCTCAGACCTTCAGGCTGATAGGGTCTCACTGTTATCTCACTGGGGAGTGGGTAACCTTTGGTCTTTATCCATGACAGTATCCTAGCCCCTCCTAAATCCTTCACATCCCAGCTGAGTGAGAAGCTACTTCCACAGGTCACACAGTTGACATGATTTAGGATGAAAGAAAATAGGGGGCCTGAGAAAAACCCTTGCTTTTCTGGATGCATAAAAATCTCTCAGATGAGAAGCACCAGGTCTATCATTGAGTGAGAGCATTTGCCTTTACATGAAGCCCCAAGGAGGTGATTCATTTAACTATATTCAAGTTCTTAGCTATCTACCAGTACTAGAATTTGATTTTTGGGGGGAGAGAGTTTTCTTGCCGTCTATACCCAAAATTATTGCCTTTATTTTTTACTCCCTGCTTCCCAAAACACTTCACCCACTAATTGTTGGCCTAAAGGGTCACTTCACTAGAATAAAGTTGACTTGTTAGCATATTAGAATTTGCAAAGTTCTTTAATGTTGATAATGTGCTCAGCAAACCTGGGAGCAATTGAAGGGGAATCTTCTGGTTATCTCCTTAAAGATGTCCCTGTAGCTCCTCATGCCACATTCTATAGCTTAAGAGCATTTTTTAAGCATCTGTTTTATGTTAGGTGCTTCGTATATACAGTGTCTCATGTAATCTTCCCAATACCACTTTTCAATAGGTGATATTTTCATCATTTTACAGGTGAAGAAAATGAGGCTCTCTTTAAGTGACTAGTCCAGAATAATACAGCCAGTAAATGGAGGAGACAAGATTCAAACTCATATCTTCTAACTTTCATGTTCCTTGCTATTTAAATAAAATGAAATTGTTAAGTTTTATATAATTCAGTAATTATATCCTATTTAAATAAAAGTTAATAGACTGATGTTTTTAATATGATGTTCTATGGCACTCTAGAATTGCTTACATGTGTCCTAGAGGTTATTGTTCAGAGCCAGCAGAGACCAAGCAGGCCAGGCGGCTCTTCTTTGACCAGAACTTTTCTCTGTTATGTATATCCTAGTGCCATGTAAAATGTAATTTGAAAAAAGGAGTTCTGCTTTAAATAAACAGATAAGTTAATTAAAAGTGTGATAAGTACTCTTAGTATGTTCTGAGGAGCTCACTTCTGTTTGGGTTATCAGGGGTGACCTCAAAGAAGAGGTTTTGAAATTGGGGAGGGGTTTTGCCGACTGATCTTTTGAAAGACACAGGGAAGCATTCCAGGAGAAGATAATTTGATGAAGCACACAAGATCCTTCCTCTTGATTTGGTCTCTGGTCACCTCTCCTCTCTGAGCTCCTGCCAGCCCCTTGTGCATGCCCTTTATACCAGCCATACACACTGTTGCACTATAGTACTCCTAGTTCACTCATTGTATCGCATTGTCTCATTCTTCTGTGCCTTTGCACTAGCCATTGGGAATCATACCCTCATCTCAGATATTTTACCTAACACCCCTTCACACCACCTACCACCAATTTATTTCACTATCCTTCTGTGCTTCCATTGCATTCTCCCATGGTACTTATAATCATAAGTGTGCTTTTCTGTGGCCCTTCTGCAACTGTAATTGCTTCACGGGTCGGGGGGTAGATATAATTTAATTTGGTGTTTCCACTATGTTAAGCATATGTTTAGCCAGTGTTAAGTGACTGAATGAATGAATGGATGAGCAGACCTTTCTGGATTGGAGGATTCATATTGAGGAGCAGGGTAAGATAAAGAAAATTTTTAAAAAATGGATTATGGAGCCAGCCTCCCTGAGTTTGAATCCTTGTTCTACCACTGAGCAAATTACTTAATTTCTCTGTGCCTCAGCTTCCTTGTAGACTTTGAGGATTAGATGAGGTAATATATGTAATGTAAATGCTCTGAGAATGGCACTTGCTACACAGTATATTTACTGTAGATATGTTGGCTTTTCATTATCATTATGGGTCAGGTATGTGTAAGTGGCCAGACTGTGGAAGACCATGAAGTCAGGCTAGGGACTTTGAACTTGGATGCAGACCTGCTAGGCTTTTGAGCAAAGGAATGTCAAAGTGGAAGTGGCCTTGTCATAAGACAGTCCAGTCTTCTGTGGGGGAATCTGGGTGAATTATATAAGAAGTAAAGAGGCAACAAAGGTAGAAAAAATAGGCTACATGATCTAGGTGTGAAGAGATAATTTCCTTTTTTTTTTTAAGATTTATTTATTTATTTTTGGACAGAGGAAAAGGGAGGGAGAAAGAGAGGGAGAGAAATAGCAATGTGTGGTTGCCTCTTGTACACCCCTACTGGGGACCTGGCTTACAACCCAGGCATGTGCCCTGACTGGGAATCCAACCTGTGACCCTTTGGTTTGCAGGCTGGTGCTCAATCCACTGAGCAATACCAGCCAGGGCAAGAGATAATTTCTCAATTCAAATGAGAGAAATGGGGGCAGGTATGCAGTTCCTGTTATGGGTGGAATAGCAGTGTGGCTAGGAAAAGATTCTGAAGCCACATGGCTTGGGTCTCAATCCCAGGTTTGCTGCTTATTGGTCCTGTAATCTTGGGAAAATGACTTAACCTCTTGGTGCCATGATTTCTTCTCCTAAAAATGGGATTGTAATTCTGATACTTCTTTTAAATATTAAATGAGTTAAATTAGAGATTAGTACTTAGCATGTATTACTGATATTATTATTTTTATCCCCCAGAAATTCCTATGGTAGCCACAGCCTGTCAGATCTGCCAAAGGCAAGACTAGACCTATGTTGCCAAAAGAAGGCAAAGAAATGTAATCACTGAGTTGTTCTGTGTGGCTGTGTAGCATTTTAGAAGGTGAAGTTGTCATATGCTCTCAGCATCACCTTTCCAGGTTCTCAGGGCTTCAGATGCCCACTATATAGATACCCACTACCCAGTGGGTGTTAAATCCATAGAGCGACGGATGGATGAAATCCATATTGGGAGAAGTGACATGACTCATTAATCCCTCCACCCCAGATTGACGTTTTAAGACCAGTGAACTAAAGGATTGTCAAGTCCTCTATTAAAAGAAAAAGGCCAGCAAGAGGAAGAGACACCATTTTGAGAAATGAAGATAAGAGTAATAGTTTACTGCTTGTTGAGTACTTATTATGTACTACATACTTTTATGTCATTATTTTTTTAAAGATTTTATTTATTTTTAGACAGGGGAAGGGAGAGAGAAAGAGGGGAAGAAACATCAATGTGTGGTTGCATTTCATGCGCCCCCAACTAGGGACCTGGCCTGCAACCCAGGCATGTGCCCTGGCTGGGAATTGAACCTGTGACCCTTTGCTTCACAGGCCAGTGCTCAATCCACTGAGCCACACCAGCCAGAGCTTATGTCATTATTTAATCTCTCTGACAATCCTGGAAAACAGATATTATTTTGCCCATTTTACAGATGAGGCAGTTGAGATACAGAAAGGTTAGTAAGGTGAACAAGGTCATCCAACTTAGGAAGACAAATCTAGATTTGAATCCAAGTTTATCTTATTCTAAACGTACCACTACTTTTTTATTTTCAGATGTCCCATTTTGAGAAGTATGCAGGGTGAGTGTTCAAACAGGCCTGGTTGAATCCTATATGCAACAACTCTTTAGCTATGAGGCTTTGGGCTCAAGATGCTTACTCCCTGCACCTCAGTTTTCTTATCTGTAATCTGAGAGATTTTCTTTCTCAGAGCTGCTCTGTGGAGTAAGTAGAATAACGTATATGAAGTACCTCTCAGCCCTGGTATAAATTTAGCAATTATAAGTTTCCATGATCCACCTTGTAACTGGCAGTGTTTGTACCGAAGCTGAAGTCTCTGAACTCATTTCTCTTCCTGTTGCCACCGTACTAATTAGTGGCAGTGGTGACTTAAGGATAGATGGTACTGAAGAGGTGACCTCAGGTATTGGAAGGCCTTTGCGTTTGTATGTACCCATGTCCCCGCTAGACTTGGGCTGAGGGCGGGTTGCAGAAGCACACTGACTATTGCTTAATTTCCTTTCTGGGAAATTCTCTTTTCTCCACTCCTGAATTCCCCCCTCCCACTTGACTTGTATTTCAGGAGCTACAGAAGGCCCAAAAGAAGAAATATATCAAGAAGAAGCCTTTGTCGAAGGAGGTAGAACAGCCTCGCCCTCAAGAGTCCAATCCCAGCGTGGCAGCACCAGCCCCAACTCTGGCTACCACACCCCAGCTTCTCACCTCCTCCTCACCCCTGCCTCCTCCTGAGCCTAAGCAAGAGGCCCTCTCAGGAAGCCTTGCTGACCATGAGTATACTGCTCGTCCCAATGCCTTTGGCATGGCCCAGGCAAACCGCAGCACCACACCCATGGCCCCTGGGGTCTTTTTGACTCAGCGGCGCCCTTCAGTTGGCTCCCAGAGCAATCAAGCAGGACAAGGTACAGTTGCCATATGTTTATAGAACTTAGAAGGGCCTTAGGTACCAGCTCCAAACACAGTGCAATGGGCAGATGACAATACCAGGAGGGACACCGGCAGCTAAGGTAGTTGAACTTGATCTCATAGGCTATGAAGAGACACTGACTGGTGTTAAGTAGAAACAGGCTCAGATGTGGGTTGAGAAAGATGCTTCTGGTGGCCAGAGTGGCGAGTGGGCTGAGGGTGGGAAGTTTAAGGAGGAGACACATGTACTGTCAAAGCTGCACTGGAGAAAGGCTAGGGCTCTCACAGAGGGAATGGAGAGAGGGAGGGGATAAGTTGGTTACAGGTGGAGGAGGTCACATAGGACATGGGAGGTGATTTGAGGGGGCAAGAAGGGAAGAGGTGAGGGTCAGGCACTCAGGCCCTCTTTTTCCTCATTTTTGCCTTCAAAGCCCAGTCTCTAGAGTGCATAGCTCAAGGGGATGATGTTGGTGTGGCATTGGGGTGATGATGATGGGGGTTTTGAATGAAATCAGGCTCTGAAGGTGGCAACTTGAGGGACATTGAGATACAGTCACTCACCAGGTATTCGTCTGATACTGATGGGCAGGATAAGAGGACAGGTAGGCACAGTCATCTCCCTGAAGAATTTAGGAAGGAAAACGATTGCACCAAAGAAATCAGTAGGGAAAAGGAACCAGACAGTCTAACCAGGGAGTCTGTAGCTGTTGCAGGAGGTCATCGGAAGAAGAGCCAACACATGTGGTTTTGGATGGAAGTAGTTAAGGAATGCCTATTGCCCAAGATATGCCTGAAGCCAGGTGTGAGGACGGGGAAACTCTGGACAGAGCAACAGAGGCAGGGGGTGGTCTGAGGACAGTTGGTGCTGGAGATGCTGCTAGAGCGCTTGCTTATATCTTTGTTGCCCCACAGGAAAGCGTCCCAAAAAGGGCCTGGCCACAGCAAAGCAGAGACTCGGCCGCATCCTGAAAATCCACAGAAATGGCAAACTACTTCTGTGAGCTCCCTTGTATCCTGCACCTCACCCCTACACCCCCACTGCCTTCTCCATTATCAACTCTCGGGGCACTCCTGGATCCTGTCTGCCCTGAACAAGGTGCTGAGGCACATTGTCCTGCTTTCTTGGAACTGACCAAAGGCAGGGACTCCCCAACGGGCCTCTTCACTGACTCCTCCAACCCCCTCCCCACTTCCACTAGAGCATTTTGCCTTTCTTCTCCATACCTCTGAGTAACAGGTAAACAGGAAAGGTTTCAAGCTGACTAGAACCCTCTTTTCTGCTGCTCCAACCTATTTCCCTTTCACCAGCCTTGTTGTTCCATTAGTCTCGTCTCCACTTGGAGCCACAAGGCAGGATGAGGAGAGGCATGAGAAGAGCCTGGGCCCCTAGGTATTTCCCTGGTCATGAAGTGGGAGGCCCAGCACACAACACTTCCCACAGCTCCAGAAGCCCGCCCACCTCTACCCATTCTTCCTTCCCCTTCCTTCCCCAAGCTCAGTGGATATTTACCACTGGAGACTTGTTCCTGGGAGAAGGGGCTGGCCTCTGCCCTTTCTTGCCAAATGGTTTATGGAAATAAAGTGGTGGGCCCAGAGTCTCCTTACTGTCCCACCCTGGGCCATTTCCAGAGGTAGCCTAGAAAGATCATGGGCTGACTTCATGCATCTTGGGAACAGGAGAGATTCCTGTCACTTCTCAGGATGGGGAGAGGATCGACACCTAAACCTTTGACCATGACTTTGTAGCTCATTGGGGGAAGCTACTTTTGGGTGGCTGTAGATGAAGCCCCCATCCCAGCCTGAGCTCCAGGGATTTGCCTGGATTTTGAGGTCCTGCAGAACATTATCCACGTGGCTGTGGCCCAGCAGGTGAAGTATCATCTCCTAAAGGCCTGAAAACACATGTCACTGAAGCAGGTAGCGTGGGGTTCCACGGCCTGCTCTCTTCACCTGTACCACAGAGCACAGTGTGGACCTTCCAGGGAGGATGTGCCAGGCAGCTCAGCCCTGGGTTCTCCATCGGGAGCCTCTCTGCTTCTTTCCCCACCTGATGTCTTGATCTGAAGACCACAGAACTCACAAACCTCACTCCTGGGCCTCTGCACTCCCAGACGTCAGGTCAATGCTCAAGCAGAGTGTAGAGGACCACTCCGGAGCCTGGGAGAGGAGGCCCTCAGCTGTAAAGGAGCCGATCATCTGATCCTCCCTTCCCCTCTTCCCTTTGTAGATGTCTGTTGTCCCAACAGTGTCCACCCTTATCCCTCCCTTTCCCCCAGCTCCTTCCCCCTTCACCTATCATACATCCCTGGCAACCTGGACTGGATAGAGAATGTCCCCCTCCCTCCACTTTGGCATTGCCCAATTGGAGTGCATCCTTACCCTCTACCCTACTCCAACCTCACCCCAGTTTACCCAGTGCTTCTGGGGAACTTAACAGCTAGAATGCAGGCCACAGGAAATGTGTGACTTTCCTTGTCTTTGTGTCTCCAGTCCATCTTTTCTCCACAGCCCACATCTATTCTCCTTCCTTAGAATCAAGGGTCCGTTAGCCCTGTTTGCTTTTTCTATCTTGGATACCCCAGGGGCCAAGCAGTCCTCCATCTAGTCACACCAAAGGCAAAAAGCCTGGCTACCTCCCCCTTAGCACGTGAGGTCCCCACTCCCCTCCTCTGTGTTTCCACCCAGCTTTGCTTTTCTTGGAGATTTCAAGGCAGCAGAGGGTGGTGAGGGGAGGGAAGGGGGGCAGCCTGTGTCCCCATGTAGCCACCGCCTGATGAGGCCCTGACTGCTATAACCAAGACCAGGACCCCAGCCCTTCTGCCCATTAACAACCCCCTACCCCATGATCTTTCAAAGGCAGCTAATTGCTAGCAAATCCTTCTAGTTCCAGGCCTCTTTCCCCTCTGTTTCTTTGTTAGAAGTTTCTGTGGAGCTGAAACCCAACCTCCATTTGTCGGGGTTTCCATTTAGTTTAATTGAACTCTCAGAGCTTCCTGTTTGTTTTGTGTTTCAAATGAAAAGCAAGTTTACCCTCAGAGTTATGCTTTTCCAAAGAGGCTAGTGTGCTTTTTCTTTTTTAATGTTTCAGGTTCTAAGTGAAGTGAGTTGGGGAGGGGTTAGGAGTGGTAGTAACCAAGGTTTAGAACATGGTGAGTTACCTCTGGTCTCCTATCCCTAGCACAGAGCTGGGAGTTGGATAGGGGCAGGGAGAGAGGATTTCTATTCACCTTTAATATATTTTTACAAAAAAGCAAACAATTTAAAAACAAGCCCACTGCTTCTGTACATGTTTAAATATATTTTTAGAAGTGGGTAGGATTGTGAATTTCTGATGCAGGGCCTTTTTATAAACAGGTTAGAATAGCATCCTACAGACTTCTCTTGGTTCCCCCCCCCCCACCGTTCTTTTCTTATGTTGTGTTACTAATGTAATTTATATTTTTTTTTAGGTCCTCCCTTTCCTATAGAGATAAAAGTGATTTATCTTGGCAATTGCTTTGCTTGTTTTTTTTTTTTTGTGGTGGTGGTGGTGGTGGTGGTGGTGGTGGTGGTGGTGGTGGTGGTGGCGGCAGCCGCGGCTGCAAGGTGGGGGGTGGGTTCAGGAATGTCACCTTCCCTTTACTTCCTCTCTGACTCTCCCTCCCATCAAATCAGCACTTTCTTGGTGCCCAACTGTGTAATCGAGGAGGGGTGAAGACAAGATCCCTGCCCTCACAAGAGACATAGTTCACACACCACAAACAGATACTCAGAAGGATAGTGAGCAGAAAAGAAAGAGTGCAACAACTCAAAGGGGCCTAACGAGTTTGTTGGGAAGGCTTTCCGTAGCTTCCATGAGCCATTTTTAGTAGTGACACTGGTATCTTTTTTGTGTGAATGGGCAGTTTTGGGTTCTCCCTCTCTCTCACTGCTCCAGACTGAACTTAATTACTGTGTTTAAGGCCAGTGCAAGGGGTACAATATAATTATTAGAGCTAACATATCATTCCTGACCCTGCTGTTAGTGTTCTATATATATTGATGTATTTAATCCTCACCAACATACTCATCCTACTGATGAGGAAAGAGGCAAAAAACCCCCATCATATATCATAAGTTGTGGGGCCAGCCTGGTTTCAAAGTCTGTGTTCTTATCACAGTTCTACCACGTTTCACTGATACCCACTACCATCTATTAAGTGCCTTCACTGTGCTGGGCATTGGGCTAGGGTTTTCAATTGGGATATTTCATTTAATCCTCACTGACAGTTCTGGAAGATAGTTAATGGCCTGTTTTACAGTGAAGGAGGCTGAAGCTTGTTAGTGGTTTTCCACAGCAGGATCTGGCTGACTCCAAAACTCATGTTCTTTCTCCTCACCATGTTAGAAAATGTTCTGTAACTCACTGACCCAGCAGGTGTTTATTGAGCACCTGTTTTATGCAGGATGTAGCACTGAGAGTTGTGTCCTAAGGAGAGCCCTGGAGTGGTGTTGGGAGCCTTGGTTCCAAATTGACACCACCCTGACTCCGTGAGACCCAGGGAATGGCTGCTTACTGTCTGAGGGTCACTGTGAAAGGAGTTTGAACCCAATCAGGATTTCTTCATCCTGGAGATTCTGCTTTTGTGGGTCGGCGGTGAGGCTATCTGGGCTTGACACCTACTGGCTAAATGACCTGCAGCCCTCCCTGTCTGAATCTTGCCATTAGGCAGGGTTTAGATACAGAGGGTTCTTGTCTTGGGCAGGGAAACTGTGTCTCCTGGTAAAAAGGCAACAGGAAAGTGGGGAGGGATTTCAGCCCTTGCAGGAATGGTGCACTGGGTTCTCTTTGTCACCAGCTCTCACCACCCCCCTCCCCAGTGAGAGGCCAAAGCAGTCACCAGCCTCAGTTTAGAGGGTAAGCTAGAGTCTTGGTGACCTTACTCCTCACCCAGGCAGGAGGGGCTAACACATAAGAGGCTCCTATCTAAAAATTGGAAGGAGAGCCCTGACTGGTGTGGCTCAGTTTGTTGGGCATTGTCCTGCAAAGTGAAAGGGCACCAGTTCAGTTCTTGGTCAGGGCACATGTCTGGGTTGCAGGCTCGGTCCCCAGTCGGGGCCCCTTGGAAGGCAGCTGATCAATGTTTCCCTCCCTTTCTCCCTCCCTTTCCTCTCTCTAAAAATAAAAATGAATTTAAAAATTATAAAAATTGGAAGGAGAACAAGGACACCAAACTTCAGTCTTCCCTCTTTCCAATATGGAGTAGAAAAGTGCACAGGGCTTGTCACTAAGAGCTTGCCTTCTCAATAAACGTGTAGTTTGGGGGAGATTATTTGTCCAGGTCTCAGTTACTACATTTCCCAGGTGGAATTATTTCAACTATGTCTCTCTCCAGAAGACAGCAAGCGGGAACCTGGATGCTATTGATTCCCGAACTAAGTTCTCTAACTCTGACCTGTCCTGGGTACAGATTCCACATTTCTACTTGCTCATGGAGTGTTCCCGCCTCAAGTACACAGACCTCTCCCTCTCTACCAGGACCCTGTTCACGCCCAGTTGACTGAAATGGCACTTGCCCTCCAGTAAGCTGAGTGAAGGAGAAGAACATCATATGGGCCAGTGTGGTGTCAGAGATGCACATGGAGTGCTGGTCAGGGAATCTATCCCTGGGAAGCAGGGAATTCAGTAAGGCTTTCTGTTAGGGGTGATGTCTGAGCTGAAGGATGAAAGGAAATTACCCAGTCAAGTAGAGAACAGTGGGAAGAGTATTCCAAGCCCAGGCAATAGCATTAACTTAAAACTTTGGGGTGGAGGAAAATCCATGTGTGTATAGGACAAGTAATTTAGTATAACTGCACCTATGACCATCACCTGAGGGAACATATGCAGAATCTTCCAAGAGGGAATGTTTAGTTGAGTAGGCATGTGATTAAAATTGATTAGTTTGTTGGCATAGTATTTATTGTAAAGCCTCAGATAATGGATGATATATAATTTTGATACTTTTAAAAGACTTAACTGTAGCCAATGAATGACAGAACCATTAAAGGGTTTTAAGCAGAAAACAGCATGACCCAACTTGCTTTTTAAAAATAGCCTTTTGCCAGTCAAAGTAGTGGATTAGGAGGGAGAGAGATGGAGCCAGGGAGACCAGTGAGGAAGTTACTGAAGGAGGGATGAGGGGGGCACCATGTCATCTAATGCCCCATTCAACGCCACTTCTCTAAAGAAACTTTCACCCAACTCTCCAGTCAGTTCTGACCTTTTTCTGGAGTTCTACATCTCATAAAGGGTGGAATTCCGAGGCCATTTAAGGAGGTAGAACCATGGAGTTGGTCATTCATACAACCCAAGAGACAAAAGTTGCATTCCTCTATCCGCTTTTCAAGCTTTTAACTCTCAAAATAGCTCACCTTTCTGTACCCTCTATTTCCCCAAAGGACCACAACATAATGCCAACACTCACCAATGAATGTGGCAAGGGACACACAATACCAGTTTTATATTGTCCTTAGAAGTCTGCCAAGCCTCCCTTGCATTTTATTCCATTCCATTCCACATACATAACATTTCGAGGTTATCTTCCCAAAGTCCTGTTTTCATCACTCCCTCCTGCTTAAGAGCATCTAAGGCTGCCCACTACTTTATCATATCTTCTGGCTTTCAAGGCTTTCCAGAACCTGGCCCAGCCTGGAGACAGTGGGTAGTGGCTGAAAAAGGATATGTCTGGGAGTTGAGAAGACCAATGATTCAGTGTCAGCTCTGACACCTATGTGGTCTTGAGCTGGCTACTTCATATTTCCTTGATTCAGTTATCTGTGAAATGAAGATACACTCCCTACCTGATAGGTTCATTGGGTATCTACTGTCTTTAAAGAACTTCAATGTGTGGCACTCAGGTCATCAGTGAGTCTAGTTTAATTTTTCTCAGTTAATATTTGCCCAACAAGGCCTGTAATCTCATAAAGAGATTAGAGAGAAGGGAAGCCTTTAAAGAAATGGGGAGAATATTTCAAACTAGGGCAGGATATTGACTTGGCTTCGTGAAGAAAGGGTCTGAAGGACACAGATGGCTGAGTCAACAGGTGTGGTGCGCCTTACACTCCTGTAGAGAGGAGGTACAACTAAATCTGACTCAAAGTTGCTGGAAGGTGCCAGAACATCTATGCCAGTTCAATATCACTGGTTCAATTTTTTTTCCACTGGTTCAATTTTACAGTGGTTTATCAAAGCCTCTTTGTGTCAGGCCCTGTGTATGCCATTGGAGGGCTTGATCCTCAAGGAGCATGTAGTTTTGTACACACACAGAAACCCAAGTACAGCATGCTGGGATAAATACAGTAAGTCCTCAAAACATTGTTGATAGATTCTGTAACATTCAACAAAATGATGTATAAGTAAACCAATTTTACTATAGGCTAATGAGTAAAAACAAAAGTTCCTATAACATCTCATCTGCATTATAATGAAACGACATTGAAAGGAACATTGAGGACCTGATGTACTGTGTTACAAATAAGTATGGGGTGCTGTGGCAGCATGAGGGAAGGTGACTGGACCCTGTTTGAGGAGCAGAAAGACTTCTAGGAAGAAGCAACACTTGAATTGAACACTAAAGGACATTCACCAGGAAAGGGAAGGCAGAGGATGTGTTGGAATAGAGCATTCAAAGCAAAAGTAGAAAGTTGAAGCAGCCTGGTGTGTGGGTGGAACTACGAGCCCTCAAATTGGGCTGGTGCACAGGATAGAGTAAGAAAGCAAGTGTTGGAGGATGAAGCTGAAAAGGTTGGCAGGGACCCAATCACAGAGGTTCAATGTATGTTTCAAAATGTTTTCTGGTAATCCTTAGGGTGGGGTGAGAGAAGTGGATTAGCGTGAAGGCCTGCATGAGGAAGGTTGCCAGATTCCAGTAAGATGAAATGAGGTCTAAACCAGGGCAGTCACCCCCTGTCAGGGAAAAGTCACCCCCTCCTTTTCCCTGACATTTTACTATGGACAGTTTCAAACATTCAAAAAAATCAAAGTAATCATACCCTGAACACTCATAGATCCACCATCTAGATTCTACAATTAGTGTTTTACTATACCTGCTTTGTCACACATATCTATTCATCCCTCTATCCCTCCATTAAGCCATCTTATTTTTATGCATTTCAAAATTAGATATCTGTGCAAATGCCCTTAAACTCCTCTGCATGCATGCCATTAACTAGAGTTCAGTATATGTTTTGAAAACTTCTAAATAAAATATCCATACAATGAAATTCACATATCTTAAGAGTATAATTTCATGTTTTGATACTGTATGAGGTCTGTCCAGAAAGTAACCAGCCATGTACTATGAAAAATAGAGACGCTTATTGAAGAAGGTACAAGATACAGGAAATATTGTACATAAGACAGTGATGCCTCAGTCCCCTTCAAGGTAGGCACCTTGGAACCTCACACAGATCTCCCAGTTGCTATCAGCTGCTCCATCGTATTTCCTGAGTCTCATCGACAGTCTAAATTCTATTCCCTTTCAAAGATGGTTTTATTTTATTTTCTTTTGTATTCTATTACAGTTGTCCCAATTTTCCCCCCTTTGCCCTTCTCCACTCAGCCCATCACCCACTCCCCCAGTCAGTCCCCACCCCCTTGTCCATGTCCATGGGTCATTCATACATGTTCTTTGACTAGTTCTTTTGCCTTCTTTCAACCATTATCCCTCTCTCCTCTGGTCCCTATCAGTCTGTTTCATGTTTCCATGCCTCTGCTTCTATTTTGCTCATTAGTTTACTTTGTTCACTAGGTTCCACTTCTAGGTGAGATGATATGGTATTTCTCTTTCACCACCTGGCTTATTTCACTTAGCATAATGCTCTCCAGTTCCATCCATGCTGTCACGAGGGTAGGAGCTCCTTCTTTCTTTCTGCTGCATAGTATTCCATTGTATAAATGTACCAAAGTTGTTTGATCCACTCATTTACTGATGGGCACTTAGGTTGCTTCCAGCACTTGGCTATTGTAAATAGTGCTGCTATGAACATAGGGGTGCATAAATTCTTTTTAATTGGTGATTCGAGATTCTTAGGGTATATTCCCAGCAGTGGAATCAGTGGGTCAAAAGGTAGATACATTTATAGTTTTCTGAGGAAATTCCATACTGGTTTCCACAGTGGCTGCGCCAGTTTGCATTCCCACCAACATTACACCAGGTTTCCCTTTTCTCCACATCCTCGCCAGCACTTGTTACTTGGTGATTTATTAATGATAACCATTCTGGCAGGTGTGAGGTGATATCTCATTGTGGTTTTAATTTGCATCTCTCGCCCTTGCTGGTGTGGCTCAGTGGATTGAGTGCCAGCCTGTGAACCAAGTGGTTGCTGGTTCGATTTCCAGTCAGGGTACATGCCTGGGTTGCAGGCCAGATCCCCAGTTAGGGGTGTGCAGGAGGCAACCACATGTTGATGTTTTTCTCCCTTTCTTTCTCTCTCCCTCTCTCTAAAAATAAAATCTTTAAAAAAATAATTTGCATCTCTCTCATGGCTAATGACATTGAACATCTCTTCCTATGCCTGTGGGCCCTCTGTTCTTGGAGAAGTGTCTATTCAGGTCCTTTGCCCATTTTTAAAATTGGGTTATTTGTCTTCCTGGAGTGGAATCATATGAATTCTTTATATATTTTGGAGATCAAACCCTTGTCTGAGGTAAATTGGCAAATATGTTCTTCCATACAATTGGTTCCCTTTTCATTTTAATGTTGATTTCTTTAAGTGTGCAGAAGATTTTTAATTGAATGTAGTCCCATTTGTTTAGTTTTTCCTTTATTTCCCTTGCCCTAGGAGATACATCAGCAAAAATATTGCTATGTGGGATATCTGCAATTTTCCTACCTATGTTCTCCTCTAGGACTTTTATGGTGTCATGACTTATATTTAAATCTTTTCTCCATTTTGAGTTTATTCTGGTATATGGTGTAAGTTGGTAGTCTAGTTTCATTTTTATTTTTTGTATGTATGTATATATGTATGTATGTATGTATGTATGTATGTATATATGTATTTTTTGCATGTATCAGTCCAGTCCTCCCAACACCATTTATTGAAGAGGCTATTTTTACTCCATTATATGTTCTTGCCCCCTCAAAGGTGATTTTATTTTTTATTTTTTTGAAGTAGTTCATCTCTTTTGTAATTAACAAATACAGAAGGGAGAGAAAGGGAACACATTTTTAGCTAACAGAGTTTACAGTTTTATTTTCACATTTCACAATGCAAATGAGAATTTCTGTTTTTGTCCCACTACTCCCCTCCAAAACTGTTCTCTCTTCGATAGGTAGAGGGTGAGTCTTCCTTGTCACACTGTTAGAAAACACCCAGAGTCACAGCATCACGATCTCCTGGTGAAGTAGAACAAGTAATATAAAACTGATAAAAAGTGTCTCCCCTCTCTCCTTATCTTTCTGGTCGAGTCATTACTGGCCGAGTGGGCACCATCATGGGACAGGCAGGAGGTCTCATCAGTGGGGGCCCAGGCATCATGGGCATGTACCCTCCCATAGGTGGCCTCATTCCAGGAGCAGGTCCCACTGGCATCATCCCAGGAGGAGGAGGACCCATCATTGGCATCATGGGAGGGCCCCCCATATGGAGTGCTGGCATCATACCAGGGCAAGAAGGACCATGAAGACTGGGGGGAGGTGGAATCATTGCCCCTGAAGGAGGAGGAGCAGAGAATGAAGTAGGAGGTATCTCTCCTTGCTGAAATGCTGAGGTTGTTTTGCCACTTACCCTCTGATCCTGCTCTTCCATCCATTTCTGAGAGTAGCCTTTCACATTCTCTTTGTGTTTTCTACCACTGCATTGTGTCTTTCTCACAGATGGAGAGTCATGGGTGAGGTATGTATCACAGTAGTCACAATAAAACTTGGGCATGTTGTTCTGCAGGGCATTGGCCACTTGGTTCCCCTCAAAGGTGATTATAGTTTTGGGAAAAGCCAGAATTCGCAGGGTGCCAAATCTGCGCTGTAGCGGGGCTGAGTCACCTGGGTGATTTTTATGTTTTGCCAAAAATCCATGCATGAGACGTGATGCATGAGCAGGTGCATTGTTGTGATGAAGCTGCCAATCATCAGTTTCCTATACCTGTGGACTTCTGATTCATCCAAATAGTTTCAGTGGAGGAATGTTCAAGCTTAACAAAAAATTTGATGCAGACTTGTTGCTGTACTCGCTCAGTCATTTTGAATGTGTTGGCCACACAGTACACATGCTCATTCAACGGGTTCTACCACCCCCACTGACTAGTATAGTAAAGTCGTCATTGTTCACACATGCACATCCCAGTCCACTCTCCTTGGCTGCCAGGTTACATCAATATCATGCAAACTGTTCTCATTATATTAACAATGGCTAGACTTTTTCCGGACAGACCTATACCTGTGCAACCCACACCTCTATAAGGTACAGAACATTGTCATCCACCCAGAAAGTTCCCATGTGTTTCTTCTCAGTCAATCACAGCTCTTCCTCCTTCCAGAGTAGGCCTTGAGTTTGAAAAAGTAGGATTTGGAATATGTGAAAATACGAAGATGATCCAGATAGACAGAGCCTGGGTGGCTCCCTCTCCAGCAAAGTTATAAAGGCAGGTAAACATGGGGTGCACAAACATTAGTAAAAGAGCTTGAATGGATGCCTTTCAGCCTCTCTTCTGTCACCCTACTGAGCCTTATCTTTATGGGTCAAAGTATGAAACAATGACGTAGAGAGGAGCCGAGGGCACTTGGGAGCTAAAAATCTTACGGGGGAACCAGAATGTAACACCGACCATCACAATTCAGTGTAACAAATATTGAATGTTGCATTGAATAAGAGTCAGTGTTGTAATAGGAAAATCAGGTAAAACAACACAAAAGTGTCACAAGGGTATGAGATGTGTGTGAGAGAGAGCAGGGAGGGGGAGAGAGGGAGAGAGGAAAAGGGAGGGGAGAGGAAAAGTGATAAGGTGAATAACTTAGACTTGAGACTGACTGGAGGAGGTAATAGGAAAAAGGGAGAAAGATCGTTCAGCAGCCAAGAAAATTTTTCTGGAGGTGAGAGGAGTTGTTCTGAAGGATGCCAATTTTGATAAGTGTGGTAAACATAAAAGTATTTTATGTAGCAAATAACAAAAGCATAAAACATTGGCTAAATAATTTAAAAGTCTAGAAGTCTTTATTTTAAGCAAAATTCAATTAGAGCTTTTTTGACGATTATCTCAGTTCTGCCTTTGTGTGTGTGTGTTATCTTTATATTCAGGATACTTCTTCATGGTTATAGAATGGCTGCACTCAGCACAATGCTTCCACTTGTGCTTATTTGCCATCTGAACATCCTTTTAGGTGAGTGCCTGTTCAAATCTTTTGATATTTTTGAGTGAGTTGTTTGTTTGTTTTACAATTGAGCTTTGAGATCTTTTTATATATTTAAGGATCCAAATTCCTTGTTGGATAAGTGATTTGCAAACATTTCCTCCTAATCTATAGCTTTTTTTCTCCCAGTCTATAGCAGTATCTTTCACAGAGCAAGGTTTTACCTTTGATAAATTTCAATTTGTCAGTTTTTAATTAATTAATTTATTTTAGACAGAGGGGAAAGGAGGGAGAGAGTGAAAGAAACATCAATGTGTGGTTGCCTCTCATACACCCTCTACTGAGGACTTGACCTGGCCCGCAACCCACGCATGTGCCCCGACTGGGAATTGAACCAGCGGCCCTATGGTTTGCAGGCCTGTGCTCAATCCACTGAGTCAAACCAGCTAGGGCTCAGTTTTATTTATTTTATGGATTATCATGTTTAAGTATCTTTTGACTACCCCAGGTCATGAAAATGTTATCTTCTAAAACTTTTATACCCTATGTTTTCTTTTCTTTTGTTTTATTGACTTTTTTATATTGTCGTTCAAGTATGGTTGTCTCCATTTTTCCCCACCAGTCTCCCCACACCCCAGCCATCCCCACTTCCCACCCTTGATCCTACCCTCTTTGGTTTTGTCCATGTATCCTTTCTTTATGCATGTTCCTGAAAACCCTTCCCCCTTTTCTTCCTGCATTATCCCCTCCCCTCTGGTGACTGTCAGTTTTTTCTTTACTTCAATGTCTCTGGTTATATTTTGCTTGCTTGTTTGTTTTGTTGATTAGGTTCCATCTATAGGTGAGATCATATGGTATTTCTCTTTCACCACCTGGCTTATTTCACTTAGCTCTCCAGTTGCATCCATGCTGTCCCAAAGGGTAGGAGCTCCTTCTTTATTACTGCTGCATAGAATTCCATCGTGTAAATGTGCCATAGTTTTTTGATCCATTCATTTATTGATGGGCATCTAGGTTGCTTCCAACACTTGGCTATTATAAATTGTGTTGCTATGAACATTGGGGTGCATAGGTTCTTTTGAATTGGTGTTTCAGGATTCTTAGGGTATAATCCCATAGTGGAATTGCTGGGTCAAAAGGCAGTTACATTTTTAGTTTTTTGAGGAAATTCCATACTGTTTTCCACAGTGGCTGCACCAGTGTGCATTCCCACTAACAGTGGACAAAGGTTTCCCTTTTCTCCACATCCTCTCCAAACACTTGTTATTTGTTGATTTGTTTATGATGGCCATTCTTACTGGTGTGAAGTGATATCTCACTGTGGTTTTAATTAGCATCTCTCTGATGGCTAGTGATGCTGAGTGTATTTTCATATGTCTCTGGGCCCTTTGTATGTCCTCCAAAAATATGGAACACTTCATGAATTTGCATGTCATCCTTGCACAGGGGCCATGCTAATCTTCTCTATATCATTCCAATTTTAGAATATGTGCTGCCAAAGTGAGCATTATAGCTTTATGCTTTACATTTAGATCTTTGATACATTTTGAGATAATGTTTGTTTACTATAAGAGTTTTAAGTCAAGGCCTACACCTCTTACAGTAAAGAGGTTTAAAAGGTTAAGAGTTTTTTGATTTATGGAATGTCCAAATGTACAAACATCACTTGTAGACAAAAAAATCCTGTCTTCTCTATTGAATTGCCTTTTCCCCTTTGTCAAAAATCAGGTAGCTATATTAATATGAGTCTAATTCTGGAATCACTATTTTATTCCATTGATCTTATGTTTCCATACTTCCACTAATACCACCCTGTTCTGATTACTATAGCTATACCAAATAGAGTGATTTCTCCCACATTATTCTTTTTCAAGATTGTTTAGCTATTTTTGGGCCTGTGCCTTTTCATATAAATTTTAGAATATTTTTTTCTATGCCTACCCATAACTTGCTATTATTTTAAAAGGAATTACATTAAGTCTATAGATCAATTTGGAGATAATTGACATGTTTAGGATATAAAAATGTTTTCAGATTTTATAAAATATTTAATTGAAGTATGATATACATACAGAGAAGGACACAAATTCTAATTGTACAGATTGAGAAGTTGTCACAAAGTAAACACAATCATGTGATCATTACCCAGTTCCAGAAATAAAATGAGTAGCACCTAGGGGATTGAGTCTTTTTAATAAAAGATTTCATTTACTTTTGGAGAGAGAGGAAGGGAAGAAGAAAGAGAGAAACATCAATGTGTGGACACTGATGTTTCATATCCCATACGTACCCCCTACAGGGGACCTGCCTGTAGACCAGGCATATGCCCTGACTGAGAATTGAACTGGTGACCCTTTGGCTTGAAGGCCTGTGCTCAATCCACTGAGCTACACCAGCCATGGATTGAACCTTAACAGAAAAGAGATATCAGATGAACTCATGGGACTCTTGGGATGAGGAGGCCCTTAAAGAACTATACGCCCAGATAAAGGGAATAGAAAATAGCCTTTCTATTGGAATACGGACACAATGAAGAAACTTGTTTATCTTGGCCTGGGCTTTGGATAAGGGACAAAATTCTCCCCTTTACAAATTCTTAACCATGTAATTGAGGTTCACATGAGTTTGTGGTTCAAGCCTGTACTATTTATGTGGTCCAAGAAACTATAACTTGTGAAATTAGCAGAAATATTGGATCTCTGTGGGGCATCTGGCAAAAGCAAATACCAAAACTCTCAGTATTAACATGCATGCAAGCCAGGATGAACAGGATTTTCATAAATAAAATCCAGTTGAACATGAACAAAATAATCCAAAATAAGCAAGAGTCAACAAGTACAACACACAGTAGGCTTAAGCCTCCATGAACAGATAATAGAAGATTCTAACAGAGTTAAAAATAAGTATGTTACATGAACACTGGAGTGAGGATTGGCTGTGGGAGTGGGGTGGGGCAGAGCAGGGGAGAACAATGGGGAAAAAGGTGGGACAGCTGTAATTGAATGACAATAAAAGTAATAAGCATGTTAAAATTAAAGACATAAAGGAAGAAATTAAAAAAACAGAAAATAAAGTACTATTAAAAAAACAAAAAGATTTGAAAAAAGAACCAAAGCAGACTTCTAGAAATAAAAAAAAATTAAGTAATTGAAATGAAAAACTCAATGAATGAATTAAACAGAGATTAGACACTGTTAAGAGAAAATTTAACTGGAGACAGATTATAGGAAATCACTCAGCAAATAGCACACAAAGTTAAAGAAAGGCAAGGGACTACAGTATGTGGAGGACAGAATGAAAATGTCTCATATATGAGTAATTGGAGTTTCAGAGGAATAAATAAGGCTAAAAGGGGGGGTAGTATTATACAATGGCCTCCTCAACATTTTCACTTGGAAATATATCCAAAATGTAACTCTTGATCTTTCCTCACCAAACTGGCTATTTCCCTGGCATGTATCATATTAGTAGATGGCAACTTGATCTTTCCACTTGCTCAAGCCAAAAACCTTAGGTAATCATTGATAATCGTTTTCTCTCACACCCTATATCCAACATGTAGGCAAATCCTGTTGGCTTTCTTTC